TTATCAAATATATAAGGAATTATATACATATAATCCAAAACATAATAAAATGTAGAATATGATAACTATGGATGTTAACGAAGTAGATGTTTATCGCAACATCCTAATCTCAAATAAAACTGTCTTGTAACATTATTTAACATATCAGGCGTGACCGACCTAATCGCAAGCCTTTTTTCGTTCTTATAAGTCATTCAATCTGAAGGTTCAGTTTTGTATACATTGCTCTTTGCATATCCCCATAAAAAGAAATCCAATGATGAAAGGTCAGGTGATCAAGTTGGCCATTCAATCGATCCTCGCTTCCCTATCCACCGATTGAGAAATGTTGTTGAGGTATTGCCGGACATTAACTTGGAAATGTGGTGGTGCTCAATCCTGCTGAAACTATATCGTATTCACTGGAACTTGAGGGTTTCCTGGATCAGGATATAAATTGGCTAAACTAGGAATGACATCATTTTGAAGTGGTGCCAGATAATTATCACCATTCAAATTGCCCTCAATGAAAAAGGGTCTAATGATATGGTTCCCTACAATCCCTACCTAAACATTAACCTTTTGAGGGTACTGTGTGTATTCTTCTCTTATCCAGTGAGGATTTTCCGTTGACCAGAAGCGGCAATTTTACCGATTAGCTTGACCGTTAAGAGACAAAATACTCTCATCAGAAAACATAACGTTTTCTAATTCAATGATATTGCTATCCAACATGTCCATCATTTGCTCACAAAAATAAGTTCTTCTATCAAAATCATCTTCGAAGAGCTCCTGAGTACGTATTTCATTTTATTTCAATGTGTTTATTATCGATGTATGACTAACATTGAATGTAGTGAATGTCTGTCTACTCCATGTATGTGGGTTTTCCACAAACACAAGCATCACATCAATACAATGAATTCATCACTCATTGTATTGACAGCTGTTCTTTTTATCTGCCCCACATGACCAAGCTCGCAAAACTGCTTCTCTATTTTGCTTATTTTTCCTTGAGATATGGGCGGTAAATTAGGAAATTTCTCATGAAAGAGGCGAGCTATTTCCTGTTATGTTAGGGTAAAACTGTTATTTTATGCATTTCCTTTAATCTAACCATTTGTCAGACTTGAAGTTAACAAAACCTGTCATTCGACGGGGGTTGGAGGTAGAGGTAGCATTTTTCCGTTGAAGTATGTCAAATTATAGTTTAAATTTGACGTGTTTCGGGATTTTGTTAAAATATAGTACCGTAACCGAAATAATGAGTTTATTGCATTTGGCTTTTACACACTGTACATCCCATTAGAAGTCTTCGGAAACCAATAGAAATATTCTCTCTCGAAGCAACGCGACACTTAGAACGATCGAGAAGTACAAGTATAGTTGAGCGTGCCAAGTCACAGTTGATGGGAAAACACCAGCGGCGTCCGGCGTTATTTTTCATCAGGGGATAATTTACAACAATTGCACAGTAATGCATCAAAATTCACCATCTCTAACAATCTAATCAGTGTAAAAGGCAAAACAATCTCACCTGTTATCCATATTATTATCAGCAGTAACAATGACGTTGTTATTCATTCGATTCCTGCTAGGTTTGGGTTTACTCATTTGTGGTTTCACCCACTGTGTAGATCTGGTAATATGATTGACATAGTACAATCTACCATTGGGTGTTCTTCTTTCCTCCCATCCAGGAGGCAAATCAACGGAGGTTACATTATTACTTTCACTATCGACTGGTCCCCTTAGATCACCCAAAGGACCAACAATTGCCAAAGGTGTCCCACCACAAGGACCATCACGTGAAAGTAATGAAATGATTATTTGTCCTCTAACAGGTTCGCTGTCTTCTGCATTAGCCTTACCCAAATCCAAACATTGATCTGGAAAATTAATCAATCAATCAATCAAAATATGCCTAATTGTTTAAGATTAGTTTTACTGGCAAAGCCTCTTGTAAAGAAAGTAGTGCACAAAGTAATTATATATGAATACAATAGCTGATCAAATGAATAATGAACTGAGAAGTACATGAATCACAATAAACTCAAACTTGACACCTCCCAAACGAAATATATGATCCTATCGACTGGTTATAGGCTATAACTCATAAAATATCAAATTGTAGGTGATGAAATAGAGTTCATAAGTGAATTCAAATACTCAGGTTTCATGGTGGATAATCGTTTATCTCTTTATGCTCATTTTGATTTTATATATATAGAAAAATTACTAAAAAAATATATTTCTCCAGAATTTCATCTCAGCTTCCAATGTACTAAAAAATTACACTATACAATTGTTTAATCCAACCCCATTTTGATTACTGTGCTAGTCTTTTATAGTAATTTGACCAAAATGAGGTTATGGCTTTACCAAAGTTAGAAAATCATGGATTGAGGATTATTTTACAAGTGAATAATTATACCAGTATATTAAACATGTTGAGTACATTGTTACCACACAAGGTGGTCAAATTAACTGAATCTACCAATTCCAAAAACATGTTTGGTTCAAAACTCGTTGATGTATAATGGAATCAGGATATACAATAAACTTGCCAATGAAATCAAAGAAACTCCTTTTATCATATTCAAAAAGAAATGTACAAAACTATCAAGTGATAAAGCCTATTATGACCTACAAGAATATTTTGACGATGCCCTGTAATTTAGAATGTGTGGAAATTGCCATAATTGGTTGAGGTTGAGGGGCTATAATTTTGGAATAAAGGAAGAGAGCCCCGTTTTGTCTTCAGAATCGTGATCTGCTCACCATTTCACTTGAGAACAGTTTTTTTTTAAATCTTCTGCTAACAACAATTCGGATATTTACCAAAATGGGCTACATTCCAAGCTAGAGTTTCCAAGTTTACCTTTCAATGAGGGACATTTACATGGTGCAAAGGCTACTAGTGTTCTTACTAGTCACAAGAATTGTGAGGGAAAATACTTACAACCAGTATCTTTGAGTCTTTGTATTAGAGAATTAACAAGACACACACATCCCAAAAAGCCGCCTCCTTGTTTTTTGTGCACTTTACGGTGATTCCATATCGAAATGGTAACATTATCTGTTTTGGCAATGTACAAGTCATAATGTGAGTTCCATTTTGGGTCCAGAGTATTCTTAACAGTTTCTGTGGAATGGCACTGACCACTACCATCCACGGAAATTTTTGCAAATGGATCAGGAAGTCCTAGAAGTCACAAATGTTAAAATATCCATGTAGCTTTTCTATTCATTTATCAAAAAATAAGTTGTTGAATATACTTACGAAACAAATCCTTTCTCACTAAATTCCTAGCACATAGAACTGCAAAATAAAAGAGGGTGCATTTTTAATCATTCATTTTCAGGCGAGTATTTTAATAGTCAATGAGGCCATATTGCTTGACAGTTCTCAAACAGTGTACCTTTTCCATTGTTACCAAGTAGACTTTCCGATCCACTTACCAGTCAATCGAATTTTTTGTGCTCCATTACGACTGTTAGTTGGTGTATTAGACATCATACTTGTAATTTGTAATGTTATGAAAATATTGTCTTAAAACTACATGTTTGAAACTGTGGGCCACAAGGATAGCAGTCATATTTCATTTAACACTTCACTTAACACAGGGTTGCCGGTTGCCTGTTGCGACGGTGTCAATTCTGTTACTAATATTCAATATTGTCCATGAAACCAATGATTTCCTCATTGGAATATATCTTAAGAAGGATATAATATATATTTCGTAGTAAAATAAAAACAAATAGTCAATGTTTCCTCTGGAGCGTCTAATGAATCGCGAGATATTCTCGCGAAAGTTGCAGCTTGGCTCCCTTATTATGGAAAGGAAGGCTCTTGACATCTGATGTGTTTTTATGCATCTATGTTTACGTTTCAATTTTATGTTTCTGCAGGTTGTAATTTCGTGGGCCAATTTTGCATACGACTACCGCACCACTGTCGGTAGAAATTTTTGTAGGTTATGTTTAAAATGTATGACACTCCAGAGAGAATGACATTTTAGTATTTTAGTGTAGGCACAGATATATAAAGAAGAACATCACTCGGTAACAGATTTATTATATTCTGTTGTTTTGATGTCGATAGTGGTTAATCGTTGAGAATATAACAAATTTGTCATATAGTTTCAAGTTTTTTTATTGAATTTCGTTACCCTTTGACAAACTATTCAACTTCCATTCAGTCAATTCCATCTCTATCTTCCCGAGGAGAATTCCAATTGTCGGATAAATAAGAAGTCGTATAGACCTCCTACGCTTTCACATATCAATGATGAAAATTTCAAATGAGAAGATGAAGTGTACATACATTGATATATAACAACCTCAGAGTAACAATTATTACTCTGAGATAACACAACCACAGTATATATATTGTATAGTCTATATACAAAGGTATATATGTATACTGTGACGACACAGCTGTCAAATTTGATTTTGACACGTTAGGATTTGAGTTATTAATGTTATTAACAATTGTCAAATATAAGCTTTGAATTTGACAATTGATATCACTTTAAATCGCAAAACAAGTTTGGGAAGATTTGACAATAGCATTTCAAGACGACGGATTGGGGAGAAGAGTTTGACTACTATGTGTTCTAATATTTACAAAATTGGAAGAGTGTAGGTCCATTGATGAGTATGTTTATGAAATCATTCCAATTTTGCGCTAAATGACGCATGCAAGCTAGGACAAAGTATATTGATGTCAAGCATTATTTTCCGCGAGAAAAAATGAGACCAAGCATATTGAGCTCAAATATATACCAACCAAAGAAATGGTTGCCGAATCATTTACAAAGGTTTTGAACGGAGACAAGTTCAGTCTTTGCATACTCAATCAAGGACTCATCAAATAAGGAGGATGTTGTAGAAATTTGGAAGTTCCCATATTTTGGTCAAATTGACTTTGACATGTTAGGATTGAATTATTATTGATTATGGTCGAATATAAGTTTTGAGCTGTTACAATTGAATATATTTTATATCTAAGACCTTCCCTAAATCTACCTTCCATTGGAGCCAAGTTGCAAATCACAGAACACAGAACTTAAAACTCAATCAAGTTTGTTCCATTGGAACGTTTTGTTTTTGAAGTTTCACTTGAAAATTTAATTCAACAGATGATGAGAAAAACATAAACAAATAACATTATTTATAACAAATTCAAATAATCAGCCAAATGCTGGAGATGTCGACGAACTGGTTTCATGTTTGTGTTTTCAAAATCGTAAATACTTTGACCAGGTTTTAGGTGTTTCTGTGATAAACTGAAAATGAGTGCCAGAGGATGTTATCATTTACAGCATTTTAAAAAAAATCAAGACAATGTGGATATGTTCAAATGGATTCATTCAGTTTTTGTGGTAACGGGCACTTCTTTGAGCAAGAAAACAAAGGTAGATAAATTCTTGTTTCATATTTAATCTATATTTTTTGATGATTACAACTCTTCTTCACACAAAACAGTTCATCCTTTCCTCCCCTTAATCAAGTCCCTGAATGATGTATCTAGATGATTTTTTTTTGAAAGGGGATGTGAAATGAACCCTGTTTGGGATAATGAACTCCCTATGGGATAATACAGGTTAACCACTGGAATAGTAAAATGAAATATTCATAGGTATATCAATTTCCTACTCATTAAACGAAAGTATACTTTTCATTTTCAAGGTTATTTAAAGATTTCAAATGCTGAGTTTCACCAGGCATGGGTCCATAAAATACCAGTGTTGTTGCATAAAACCTTGAAAACCACAATTTCCAAAAGTGATGGAGGATCTCCTCATTAACATTTCACAATAAAATATAATAACTGCAGTGATTTATACTATGCAGCTACTTTCAAATTGATTTCTGAAACAAACATGAGAGGACATAAATAAGACATTAATTCAGTGTATTATTTGCAAATATGTACACATAATTTGATGTATAATATTTTTTGTGATTCTATTATGTATTAGCTCCAAAATCTATATATTAAGTAATTTTAAATGTCCAAGATAATAACTGGTCATGGGTGAGTTTGTGAAGATGCATTTATACAATAAAAGTTTTTTTTTTAAGAAACTACTGAAGTTTTAATTATTTTCAGATTTGCAATGCCTATTGCCGAACTTGTAAAAAAAGAGGCCCATTTCTTCATGCTTGCCTCGAATGTGTTCATTTTGGATGCCACAGACATATAAGAGAACATATGAAGTTTCACCAACATTTGTTTTCAGTGGAACTGCTCTACGGTCAAATCCACTGTTCCTCTTGTGATGATTATATTTATGATGCAGAAATTGATGAAATTACAAATTACAACAAAATGCACTCCATCAAGTTCAGAAAAAGGTTAAATACATGTTTCATTACTTTCTGTCTATTGAAGTTTTTTACATTTAGGTTATTTGAATTGACATCCTGGGATGCTATTGAAGAAGAAATGCTTCTATTGGATCATCAAACAAAAAAAATCTGTATTACTCCAGAATCTACGATAGGGCTGAGAGGATTGCTGAATTTAGGGCAAACATGTTTTATGAACTGTATTGTTCAGGCCCTGATGCACACGCCGTTATTAAGAGATTACTTCTTAACAGAAAGGCACAAGTGCAATGGCGTTCCTGGAACATGTCTCGTTTGTGAGGTATCGAAATTATTTCAGGTAATGAATGTTACATCCTCCTAATTTCAGTCATCAACAATTATTTGTCAATTGAGGTAATAATGCATACATGTTTAATAGAGAAATAGGATGAAATCCAATAATTGTTCCCTAATTAAAAGATGTTTTGATGACTGCACAGCTTCATATCTAGTGAGACCTCATTATTTATTAGCATTGAATTTGTTTATTATGCAACTTCAGAGCCCCCCGCTCTTAAATTCCGCAACAAACTGATAAGACCGTAAAATGTGACCCCAACGGATAATCCGTCATTGTGGATAAGCTTGGTTCAAATGTTATTGATCTTTTCTTGCATATTGAGCTAGAAAGCTGTTCTTGTGCATGTGGCTTCAGCAGCGTTGCAGTTCTAATCGATTTACCGGTAGATCCACAGATTTTTATCTGGTTTCTAATCTCCTAATCTCTAATCTATCTGATCTCCATCATCACTCTTCTTAATTCCATTTCTAGTTCACTATTTCAATCATATATCATTTTATTATCTAATTCAATGTTGATGAGAATGTGAACACTTGCCTTTTACTGCAGCTACGGATTCATCTCCTTGGCCATAGCAGCAATTTCTTTTGTGCTCAGTCAAGCGTGTTTTAACACCTCTTCGCGTGGTTCCAATATAGAACCAACCCCAACTACACAGTATTCGGTATACTCCTGGGTTACTTAATGTGTCTCTGGAGTTTATGCTGACCTGAGACCAGTTGCTGAGCCAGAAAATTATTTTGTGGGGGGGGCAGTTTACATCTCAATCCTTCCATTGCTCTTAAAATTTGCAAATTCTTTCTAAACAAAAAATACTAAAAATATATTACATTCCCAATTGTAAAACTATCTGTCTGTAGGTGAGAGTCAAAGCAATTTTCATCCAGCTGAAAACTATTCCAATATCTTGTTTTGGGAGAAACCACCTTGTTTTGTTACAGTATCACGCTCCCATTTTTTTGACAGCTTCATTAGTGAATTTTTGTTCTTTGTCATCAACATCACTGCCTTCCGCGCTGAAGACAATAAGATCTGTCAGTCATAAATAAAATGCATTTATTCTAGGAATTTTACAGAGGTGCTAAGATGCCACTAGCCTTGCATGAACTTCTTCATCTGATTTGGACACATGCCAGACATTTAGCTGGTTACGAACAACAAGACGCCCATGAATTTTTTATTGCAACACTCGATATATTACATAAACACTGTTTGGATACAATGCCGAAAACTAGTAAAATGATGCAAACAGGGAACGAAAAATGCCCATGTATTATCGACAGAATTTTCACTGGAGGTCTTCAGAGTGACTTGGTTTGTCAGGAATGCAAGTAAGCCTAGTGTACATTTATTTTTATCACTAGATTATTTTTTTTTAATTGAAATTATAACAACAGCGTACAGTTCAACATAGTTAAGACATTATAAATATAAAATATGTTGTTATTCTCTCTAATCAGCAAAAATGCTGGTCTCGGGATTCACAAACATTCAACATGACAAGTGAAACATAAAAACTAGTAAACCACTACTAAAAGCTCATAGTATCAAAGTACCAGACATGTGCCT